CACATATACCCCTCACCCACACCCACACATATACCCCTCACCCACACTTACACATATACCCCTCAGACACACTCACACATATACCCCTCATCCACACACACACATATACCCCTCACCCACACACACACATATACCCCTCACCCACACACACATATACTCCTCACCCACACCCACACATATACCCCTCACCCACACTCACACATATACTCCTCACCCACACCCACACATATACCCCTCACCCACACTCACACATGTACCCCCACCACACACTCACACATATACCCCTCACCCACACCCTCACATGTACCCCTGCCACACACCCACGCATATACCCCTCACACACACCCACACACATAGCCCTCACACATACCCACACACATACTCCTGACGAACACCCACACATATGCCCCTCATACACTCCCACAGGTATACCCGTACACAGACTCACACACATACTCTGACACACACCCACAAACATACCCCTGACACATGCCCACACATATACCCCGACACACATCCACACATGTACCCCTGACACACACGCACACATATACCCCTCTCACAGTCAAACAAATATTCCTCACATACCCCACAAATACCCCTTCCCCACACACACAGACCTATAATCATAGAGTAGTTACAGCAATAGAAGGAGGCCAGTCTGCCCAATGGACACATACTGGCTCCTAGCAGGTTTGAGTTAGTCCCATTTCCTTCCCATTTCCCTTTTGAAAGCTTCACTTGAGCCTGCCTCCACCCATCCAAAGTCTAAACACATGCTGCACAAAGAAGACTTTCCTCATGTTGGCTTCGGTTCTTATTCCAATCACTTTCGATTGGTGTCATCTCGCTTTCGATCCTTTTACCAGCTGGTTTAATACCTCCCAATCTGCTTGTCATGATTTTGAACACCTTGGTGAAATCTCCTCTGAACCTTATGTTCTCCAGGGAGAACAGCCCCAACTTCTCACATCGCAGAAGTAAATTATTCCTGGTACCATACTGGTAAATCTTTGCTATCTCCTCTCTAATAGTTTCACGTCCTTCCTAAAGTTTGTTGCTCAGAATCTTATGCAATATTCCAGTTGGTGCTGAGCCTGTGTTTTATAAGATCACAATGTCTTTTCTCTTTTACTTTCTTTCTATCAGCATCATTTGAAACTGCTCACTCTTCACCTCTAGAGGGGGGAGCGGGTAATATCACAGGAGCAGTATTCCAGGCACCCAGGTGATTACACTATGGATAACGTCTCCTGTGGCAAATTTAAATGTGGTTAATTAACCCAGAACATAAAGCCAGTATCAGTAAAGGTGCCGTTTTTTTGTTGTAAAAACTCTACTGGTTCACAATGCCCTTCAGGGCAGGAAATCTGCCATCTTTACCTTCTCTGGCCTACATGTGACTCACTGCAACATTGTTAACTCATAAGTGGCTGAGCAAAGCACCCCACCCAAAGGAAATTTGGGACGGATAACAACATTGAGGTCGCCAGCAATGCTCAAGATGTAAATGGGGACAAAAAAAATCCCTCACTGCAAAATAATTTGTTATTCAACTTGATTGGGCAGCCCAGTAAGGTAAAAAGCATCCAATACATTCACTGGAGCTTTTTCCTCAGATATAGGTGATGAGAAGATGAGACTGATGATGATAGGACCCATTTCACCTCTGTTTGTCATTTGCAATCCAACAGCCTCTAGCATGTGCTCACACTGAAAGTTTGGACCGTGAAGGGAGGAAGTCCAGTCCCATCCTGACCGAGAAGGTGAGAAAAGCCAAGGATTTTCGGCAAAAGGACAAATTGAATGGCAGAGCCGAAATGAAACTGTTTCCGTTTAGCGTCCAGAGGTCTTAATCCTGTCACAGGCACACACACACACATACAAACACACGCGCACGCGCACACACACACAAACACAGCGACACACACACATGCAGACACACACACAGAAACACATAAACACAGACACACACACACAAACACACAATCCCTCCACCCCTGTCGCTGCACTTGTTTCAAACTTGCTACATCTCCCAGTTCTAATGAAAGGTCATTGACTGGTTTCTCTCACCTACGATGTATTTCCAGCTATGCCCGCTTTTATGTTAGATTCCCGGCAGCCTCATTATTTTGCTTTTCTCTCCTGCAAGCCCGTGCATGGCAGTGCAGCTCCCCAGAGCCATATTAGGGCTGGAAGTGACCTTCATTCATCTGCCCCCGACCCCATCCTCCCAGCCCCATGTGGTCCCTCCATCTTACCTTCTCCCTTTCCTCTGCCCAGTTGCCGACCAGCACTCGGTTCTGATAGTGCCGCTGTATTTTCCAGCTGGGCAGAGCTGCCAAGGGGTCAGGAGCAAATCGATCTTCGCGGGATATAGGGCAAAGGGATGCCATGACTCTGCAGGAGTGTGTGTGCCAGACTTAGGTGCATGTGTGTCACTTTCAGCACCTTTGTTTACCGTTTCCATGGAGACCGCCTTCAGCAACACTCCACTCAGAACAAATACTGGGCATCCACCAGGTCTCATCTCCCGGTTCCTTCAATACTTACTTAAGTCCATGTGGTCCTCATAAGGGTTTTGTGGCACAATGGTAGTGTCCCTACCTCTGAGCCAAGAGGCCTACCTACTCCGAAGGTGTATCATAACATTTCTGAACAAGACGATTAGAACATTTCTACACGGACTCCAATAAGGCTCTGGTGGCAAACCGTCAAAAATCACATGACACCAAGTTATAGTCCAACAGGTTTATTTAAAAACACAAGCTTTCAGAGTCTCGCTCCTTCTTCAGGTGTCAGTGAGAGAGGTGACATCAGACACAGAAATTATAAGCAAACAATCAGATGGTCACAGAACTGATGCGAATGTGTTGAACAAACCTAAGATGGGTATTAAGTCTTTAATCAGTTAGAAAGGATTAATATGCAAATCCCAGAATTTCTTTCAAGTGACTTCCCCGAGATAACTAAAGGTTTTTTATAAGTTCCCTCAGCATACCAATGAAATTCTGGGATTTGCATATTAATCCTTTTTAACTGATTAAAGATTTAGTAACCATCTTAACATTTGTTCAACACGTTCGCATCAGTTCTGTGAGCCTTTGATCGTTTGCTTATAAATTCTGTGTCCGATACCACCTCTCTTACTGACACCTGAAGAAGG